AGCTTCTAGAACTTGCTGAGCGACGTCGGGCCAAACGACAGCGGCAGCAGCAGAAGCAGCAGCAACAACTAGACAAACAGAAGTTGTCAACTCCGCGACGGTCGAGACCTGCAGAGGTTGAAATTGAGGCAGCAAAACTGCTCGATGAATCCGAGGAGGGTACCATCGTGATTCTGAATCTCGCACGCGCTCTTCTCGCTCGCAGCTTCTTTATTGTTCATTCCATTGCGACTATCTGGAATGCCGTCAAGGTTCATCTAAAATGCATTGTCGAGTCACCGCGTATCACTGGCTGTAAGAAGTGAGGAACGTTGTTGTAGTCACCTGTTTTGAAAAGAGGTCTTGAAAGCGATTTTGTTAGGATGGCGCGTGTGTAGCCGGATTGCAGGTTTGTGATGACAATTCGATGTGGGGCTTCGTTTTCATTTCCATCACGATCGTCTTCGAAGGCGCTCACAGTATCATCATGCGCGCTGGAATCGAGGCACAATGGTCAGATTTTATAAGTTTCTGCACTTTCATGCAAATACACATTTATATAAATACAAACGCGAAAACATATCGACGAGGGCTTGTCGATTTGTGTGTGTGTGTATTTGTATATTTGTGTTGGCACTTCTGTAAACCACTTTCAATTCAGCAACCGGTGAATTTAGGAAGCAAATTTCTGAAACATTTTCCCATCCCATGCGCGATGCCCCGTTTTTAAAATGATGGTTCACTTATGCCTGGGTCTCGCCTAAGAGACGCATAAAAAGTTTGTGTGAATTTTTGACGGGGATGAATTTCGGAAATCTGATAAATTAGGAGGATGAGACATCAGAGGGATATTCTGCTCTCTTATGCAAACTAAAGATATTAAATTCAACTCGAAAGTACGCGTACCTCTGTGTGTGCACACGCCGAAGTTGCGATATTGCAATAACTGGTAAATAACTAATTTGGAAAATAGGCCGAGTAGGTTTCTCTGATTATGCGTTTTCGCTTATATGCAAATGCAAAAACGCTTATTGTGACGACCCGGTGTGTATGTGTGTGTGTGCGCGCGCGTCAGTCCGAATATTTCAACTCGGCACCCAAGTAAGTTCCGGCGCCAAAACTTTGCTGGTGGGTCCCCCGGCCAAGTGCCGCCCCAGAACCACGGTATCGACCCTCACGCAAGTCAGGGCCCCGCGTACGAGGGGGTGAAAGTTTTGGAGGAAAATCACTAACTCGGGAACCAGAAAAGCCAGAAAACTGAAATTTTGTTCTCCGCCTGCCTAGAACTCAAAGATTTGAAATTCAGCCCTCAGACATGCGTAGTTCCCGCGTGTGGATGGCCTCGTGAGGATTCTTGAGGCAAAAATCGCAAATTCGGGAACCAGGAAAGCTGGGGAGCTGAAATTTTTAGGTAATTTTCCCGACACATGTACAACTTAAAATTATCAAATTAAGTCCCTCAGTGTGAGTGTTTTTCACTTACTGCTCTGTGAAATTTTTTGGCGCGGAAATGGCTAACTCGGGAACCGGAAAAGCCCGGAGGCTGAAATTTCCAGGGGATTTTCCCAACCCATGTACGGTTTAAATTAATCGAGCTCGACCCCCCCTCTCCCCTGGCCAAACTCCCGGGCGAACGTGATTGTTATGTACGGCCTCATGAATATTTCTGGCAGT